TGATCCAATTGCAGTGGTACCAACCTAAGACAGGAGGCTGACGCCTAGAGGTCAGTTCATCCGATGACGGGTAAGGACCATATGTTGAATTGGACTGCCTAACAGGCACGGTCCCTAAGCCACATGCTTGTTGTTTAAACAGAGAGGGGGAGATGTTGAGAGCCACAGCCGAAGGGGCCCCAGCAAACTTCCAGCTGCCAGCAATCCAGCTGCCGGCTGATGATTGGCTCACAGCGGCCCCAGCAACATCTAGCTGATTGGCTCCTCGGCCCCAGCAACATCTAGCTGATTGGCTCCTCTGCGGTGATGCTCATTGGACTGTTTCCCTGCCCTTTCAGACCACGGAGCTGCTCATTGGGGGACTTTTTGGCTCTGCCCACGTGACCCAGCCAATCGGCCTCAAGAGCAGGAGGTTTGTGGGAGGTGGAGAAGAAGCTTGGAGGGGGAGAGAGAGGCTTGAAAAAAGCCGGTGGTGGCAGTTGAGGCTCTGAGGATTTTTCCTGAGGAGCTGTTTTGTTTGGTGTGTGGTTCTAAAAATAAAGTTAGTTTCTTTTGACAAGTGGCTCCTGATTGTGCCCAGCCAGACTGCGGCAGATATGGAAACAACCCCCAGGGCAAAAGGAGGAATGGGTCCTAGCAGAGAGAAGGAAACCAGTGGGCTCTGGACTTTCACCATTTCCCAGCAGCAATGGGCTCTCAACTTTCACAACTGTTCCCTCTGACTGCCCAACCCACACATTCTGCTATGGTTCAGTCTCACTGAACCCTATAAAACTCAGACCCCTATTGTAACCAGTTGTCATTTTCTCTCTTGAAAATGTGCCCCTCTGGTGCTTAATAAAGCATCACTGATCTGTTGAGGTCTGTCTCCCCTTCTTTTACTTTTTCTTTCATTTTGCTTTCACTTCCTTTCACTTGTAAACATTTATCACAAGTTATTCAGATTCCTCTTTGCTTTAATTATTTTAAAAGTGTTAAATAATCAACATGATGTTATTTGCTAATGAAAGGAAAGCATTACAGCAACAGATAGGAATGGAGTGTCTAATTTTGTCTTGATTCTCTAAAATAGATAACTTTTATTTTTTAAAGGTTTACAAAGATTGTCTCAAGATGACCCTTTCAAATTTAATAACATTTCCCACCTGTAAACTTGCTTTTACCATATTCCTGGGACAAAAACTTCCATCGATTCATTTTGATATTTTGCTGGATATCTGAGTGTTTAAGGAGAATATATCTAACAACTACTTAAAAGCAAGTTTCTTTCTGATGTCTTGACTTAAGAACAAATAGAACTACCAAGACTCCTGTGCAAGGAGAAATGTTTAAGGAATAACTGTCATCAAACATAAAGCACACTCTTTTAGAAAAGTGAGTTTTTTTAAAAAAATGATGTTAACAGTTGTTACGATTTTCCTATAAAAGCAGGAGAAAGAATTTGAATATTTTTATGGGCTGGGGGCTACTTATAAAAATTCAAAACTAAATAACCATAAAAATAGATGCTGTTTCCATGGCAACATGAAAGAATAGCAGTGAAAACAGAAAGGGTAACTCTGAGAATAAAATCATAAAATCTGTTCTTTTCAAAAGTGAACAGGAAAAAAATTTAAACATGTACCAAAGTATTAATTATCCTGGAAATATAGAATTCTATCAAAGCACAAGTCATAATAATAGGCTTTTATGTGAGGTTTTAGCTTTTTAAAAAAATATATTTGTTAGAATAACAAGAGAAACAGTTCATTGCTTTCAGCTAAACAATGCTAAAGAAAGAGTGAAATTTTTATCTTGCTTATGGCATTAGCCACTGAACCAACATTTTTTTTTTCTTTTTCTTTTTTACTTTTAGGGGTAGAAATAAAAATAATTGAGAACATAAATGGATATTGTAAATAAAGGGGACATTTAATGTAAATAGACCGGTATACATTAAAGTCCAGTATGTATCATATATAATGTTAATTGTTTTAAGGATTTCACTAGCCTTTTGAGAAAAAAAATTGAGGTAAATATTTTATCCATTTTACAAATCATCAAATATTAAAGCTTAAAAATCTGAAGTAGGGCTGGGGCCATGGATTAGCAGTGGAGCACTTGCCTTGAACATGTGAGGCACTGGGTTTGATCCTAAGAACCATATAGAAATAAGTAAATAAAATAAAGGTATCGTGTCCATCTACAAGTAAATAAAATAAAATAAAGTGAAATATAAGTAACTTACCCATAAAACATTCAATCAGATGAGAGTGGTTCTACAAAATGATGATGTTGTTTTTTATTTAATTCTCACTCAGTAGTCTAATATCCTCCATTTTTATTATGAAGGTGATACGCATACACAGAAAATGTGGAGTAAAAAGTGATAACTCCTATTCCAATTCTAACTTCTTTCTAGATTTCCTCTCTTTAGAGTGATCTATATTCCAGATTTCTATCCATTTCTAATAGATTATAGAGCATCCTGTCAGTATATGGATACTACAGATATCATAAATGAAAATGCTCACATCCAGTTTTCAAAAAGTAAAATCCTTTAAATTAAGTTTTACTCTGGATAGTTTTCTACATTTGAATTCTAGATGATAGTATCTATAGACCTTCCTCAGTTATGTTAGCAGCATACAGTACTCCATACTATGTGGACATCAAGATTCATCTAATTATTCTTGTCTTAATAGGTACTTAGTTGTTTCTATTATTTATTATATAGTTAAAGTACTCCAAAAATTCTTCATATATAGTTGTATGCATCAATAATTATTTATGAAGATGGAGAAATACTGGTTTTAATTTCTCTCTTATCCTTAAGTTAACAATGCAGAGATATCAGAATGTATGTAGAAATTGGTTTATGTATATTGTTTACTTTTTTGCTTTATGAAGCCTGGAGTTTGATGTCTTTCTATTCTTTTGGATACTATGACAATAACAGCTAAATTTCCTTGGCCATGTCTACATGGTACTAAGGTACAAATCCATTGCTTCATGTAGTCTCTCATTTAATTACTTGACTAGTATTTATTATGTATGTACCAAATCCCAAGGACTATGGTAGGTGCTAGGGATAAAGAGAGGAGTAAGATATAGACCCTGCAAACAACATGCAACTTTTAACATGTATAATCTAGGTATATGTTAGGGTATCATCCAGACAAATATGAATATTTAACTATTTGTCCTTTTGAACACTAACCTTGCAACCTTAATGAACCTAGTGGATAATTTACCTGGGGTACCTTCTTCTATTTTTAATCTGCATTAGAATTAGGGAGATATCATAAGTAATGTATCTTTTTTGAATTCTGTATGACATTATGGTGCAGATGATTAGTTGAAAAATTTCCCCATAATTCATTGAAATAGATGAGGCAGTCACTCTTAAATGTTCATCCAATACCCAGGATAAATGAACTAAGGGAGCAGCCATGTGTGAGTGTGAGGCCAAATAGATTCTCTGTTTTTGCACTTAAGGGTGTTAACTAAGTAACTTAATTTCATCCAGAAAGACGTAGGTGGAAGTATGTACAGCCTCCAGAAGGCTTTTTTTTTCCCCCCTAATTAAAGGACAGACAGGCTGTGGTAGTTTCCCCTTCCCCACTTCTTCCTGTCTTGAATGTACATGTGTTTTCTGGAGTTTCGGCAACCCTCCTAAGATCAATCAATGACAAAACTTCATTGAAGAATTGAAAAATGGAAAGATAAAATGTTTCTGTTTTTTTAATGGAATTGTTGAGGACCCAACCAATGTCCTTAATTGACTACCTTAGACTAGTTATTAAGTAACAAGATAAACCCCACACATTTAATCTTATGATATTTAAGCTTTTTTTTTTTTTTTTCAGTTTCCAGATGAATTTATCTGAACTTCATTGGTTTTTAGCCTGAGAGGCCGCTCACATTCATCATGAATCAATATGACACTGTGCTGGATCATTTTTTAATACCGTGTTATTGTCCTGCCTGAATTACTGCTTCTATCATCTTCTTTCATAAAGTCATTTTCCCAAATGCCATAAGTTAGAAACTTGATTTTAAATATTTTCTTGCTTGAATTGAAACTTTGGAACACTAATTAGGATTTGAATTATTAATTGCTTTATATTTAAGGGAAAAACTTACTTTTAATGTTCTCCACAGAATCACACAGGCCCTGCATAAACTGTGGTATCAAAACTTAATCAGCACGTGTGGCCATATAGAATGAAGACACCCGTGCTGGATCAAGTATGGACACTTGTGCAATCTCAGGTCATGCTAACCACGAAATTTTACCAATTACAAAGAAGCAGAGGCTCAACCATCTCCAATTCAACCATCTCCAATTCTACTCCTTATTACAATTGCCAGGAATTCCAAATCCTACCTCTCAAAAAGGCCATGGCAGCAGGGTTGCTCAGGCCCAGACATGGCCAAGTGACCTGGATGGCGCTCACTGTAGTGCTGCTTCTCAGTGCTTAGGGAGAACACAGAACCTTTTATATGCTCTGAAGAGATACCAATAATTAATTGGACTATCACACAAAAGATATTGTCCTAGACTTTTAGGTAGCCTTTAGTGTTGATTCAAACACTTTAAATTTTTGCTGAAATTCAAAATCTTCTAGAAACTCTGAGGCACATGAAAATTACCCAAAGAAATATAGAATAATTACCACAGGAAATTGTTGCAGTGGCCAAATGATTATTTTATATTCAGTTAATAACAGAATAGAGTGTAGTCCTCGTTTGCTCAGCATGATAAAATGAGATGAGTCTAAAATATTTGTCTATTCTCATTAACTTGGGCTCATTGAAAGTATTGTCCTTTTTATTCAATTCTGCTGTCTTATATTACAATACCTGGGACAGTAAAATAGCTAATTTTGTTCTTGATTTGAAGGCCAATTCATTTGCTAAAGTAAGAATGTGTTATGAGCATTCCAGCTATGGCCTACACTCATCATTTTAACAACATTTTCCCCCCAAAGCATGAAGCTGATTAAATGAAAGTTTACCTGATTTCCTCCCATGCCATGACAGTTGAATATACCCACTTTTTCATTTTCCTTACGGCCCATGTTGTCTAAACATTGATTGGTTTCCACGTTTCTTATCTAAAGGGAACATATGCAAAAAAAAAAAAAAAAAAAATAAAAGGAGGTAAATAGTTACTTAAGTCAAAATAGATTTTAATACTATTAAATTGTATATTGTTACCTGATACAGGTTTATAAAAAAATTTCTCCAAGAACATGCTGCTTTAAAATATCTATTTTTTTATATCCGTTTCTAGTCCTATGTAAGTTTTTAAACATCTACTGAAGTAAATTTGAACAGTTTTGACTTTGGCCTTAGAATCTAACCAGGAGGCACTCCTTTTTATAGTATAGTGTCAGAGAAGAAGGAAATGTCTACATGTTATGAATGAGGAATTCTTCTTAATATAAAGGAGAGCTTCAAAATTCCACCCAAATAACTACAGTCCATTTTTGAACTTTCACAGTACCATATGCAAGAAAATAAAAACAAATCAGTTAAATACTGAAACTTATGGCTTTTACATTGCCTCATTACTAGATGCTCCTTTCTGTGTATTAATAAGGATTAATTACCTTGTTTATTTCTGTGATGAAGACATAGTCATGCATCTTCTCTTATTCCTAATACCAAACTTAATGGAAAGTGCTTGACCCTAAGAAAGGCTGTTACAAAGCTAAATGGAGTTTCACATTACAAATTCTTCAAAAGAAAGATTAAATTGCCCACTGCGGACATGAGGTTTTTGGTTTACACTCAGACACTGCATTAGTCCCATCATTAGCATAAAGTTAATGCATATTTGAGCCAAATGTAATTATAAAAGCCATTCATTAAGCTTAAGGATGCTAAAATTGCTAAATCAAGTATAAATTAATATAAAAAAGGAGGAGGAGACAGAGGAATTCTATTAAATGGGACGTTTTGTATTTTTTCCTTATTATAAATCTACAAGCATATATTTCTGTATACCCATCCACTCTATTTCTGAGAATTTTGTGTCTCTAGTTCATAATCGGATATGCATATTTTCTGCTCATGCAGTATAATGACTTGGATATCTCTATTTAATTACCTGTGCCTGAGGTACACATTTATTCATATCAACAAATTGATAATAGTACAAAATTATTATATTAGCAAATAAATTTGTATAATTCATTTTTCCTGTACAGAACCCCAGGGACAAATACTGGTTTCTAGAGTTGGGAAAAGTGGCATGATGTGCGCTAAGGCCATACCAGGAAGTCAGAATAGTGGAGACCCGAGATTATACTTAGGGCTAGAAAGAACTGTACAGAGGTCCCAAGCCCCTGTTCTGATGGGCTGATATTTACAGCACTTCATCAAGGAATCTGAACAGTAACTGATGAGAAAGGACAGAACATGCAGTAATATTACAGGGAAAGAAGCAAAACCCACATGGAGCTATAGGATTTAAAGGTATTCTCAATCTGATTTAGGTTGGTTTAGAAACTGGAGGAGGCTTGGCCTACTGGAAAAAGGCTTCTCAGGTCCTACAGATAAACAATAATGAGAAAGGTGGTAACTGAAAAAAGATGTAATAAGTCTATGCATGCTACACATGGTCTAATCAACTTACATAGCACATAAATTGAATTACTTTTAAATCCCTTACATCGGACTCTTTTTCTTAAATTTTCATAAAAAGCAGACTTCTTAAAAACAATAATTTGTTATTATTCATAATTAGCATGGTAAAAAAATATAAAATAGTGCCATAATACTCAGAGGATAAGTATTTTATAAAATGATTAATTTACCTATAGATGTTAGCTATACAATCTCACTTAAAGTACCTCAGCTGGCACATGGTACTTGAATACATAACTAGTAAATAATTACAATCATTATAAGTTGAATCAATTATAGGATTTTTGACTCTTTGCTAGATGACAGAAAATTCAAGGTATATTCATTCCAGTACCTTCTATGATAGTTGCATTTTCAAGGGACATACTACAGATACATGCCATCCTACTCTTTGACAAATTAAGTAAGGAACTTAAGCATTCTTCCAAACAATTTGCCCCACTAGCAACTCATTATTAGTCTACTTTCTGCAATAGAAAAACTTTATTTTTTGTCTGTAATACCTATTATGAACTCATTAATGCAATCAAGAAACATCAAGAGAATCTATACCTCATGCCAAGCACTATTTGAGGTTGGAGGATATAGAAATGAAAAAAAATAAGCATAGTCCCTTTCATCATGAAGCTTATATTTTACAAGGAATGAAGGCATAACTAGAAAGACTTGTAACATGTCAGATAATCAAGAAATTTTACAAAAATTATCAAGCACAGTACAGGCAGGGAAAGTGATGAAGGAGTACTGTTTTGCAGTGAGAACCAATAAAGGAAACCCTGAGAAGATATTACAAAAGATACCTTAATGGAGCGAGAAAGCAGCCACATTTCCATCTATGGAGGAGCATTCCAGGCAAGGGAACAATACACACATGTTCCATGCAGTTGGAAAATACTGATTCAACACATTAGCAATGTGGCCAGGGAACTGTGAGTGAGTGTCACACTGTGAAGGTATCCAAGACTAAGTAATGTCAGGAACCATAAGTTTTTGAGCATAAGCATATCATAACAGCTTATTCTAGGTGCTGTGTGGAGTACAATTACAGGTTGACAAGGCTAGAAGCAGGAACTAAGTAGGGGGCACACTGCTACAATACAAGCAAGAGAGGACAGTTGCTTAGAACTGAAGGATAACAATGGAGGTGGAAGGTCAAATCTGGGATATATTTTCAAAGCCAGTAGGACTTTCAATTGAATTGGATATGAGCTATGACAGAAAAAAAAAGATGTTGAGAAATATTCAAAGTTTGGGCTGAGCAAATGATGTTTCCATTTACTGGGAACAATATTCTGAGTCCTTATATGTGAATAGCTATCTATGTAGTCTTTGTACTTGAAAATGAGTTTGGTTTATGGGAAGTCCTTGGCTGACAATATATTATTTGAGTGTGTTTACAATGTCAGTGCATTTACTTACAGTGTAAAGGGCTGCTTTTAGAAAGTATGATGACAATCAGGTGTTTTTGCCCATTATTTTTACAAGATTTTTATTTACCTGGATGACAAGCTTTCTTTTTTTGGGGAGGTGGGGTGGGTGGGTGCCAGGGATTGAACTCAGGGGCACTCACCACTGAGCTACATCTCCAGCCCAATTTTGAATTTTCTTTAGAGAAAGGGTCTCACTGAGTTACTTAGCGCCTCACTTTTGTTGAGGCTGGCTTTTGAACTTAAATCCTCCTGCCTCAGCTTCCTGAGAGGCTGGGATTACAGGTATGTGCCACCACGACCAGCAACTTTGTTTTCCTTTTCTTTAAACTCTAATATATTTGCCAATATACCTTGCTGTGATTTATATGGATTACTCCTTCAGGTATGTAGTGCTCCTTTTCATCATGTAGTACCAATTTTATTTTCAGGAAAGTTTACTTAAAATATAATCATTAATGCTCATTTTGTTTCATTACTTGGTTTTCCTGTTTAGGAAATATTATTTTGGATCTTGTTGCTTGTTTTCTGTGTATGTCATTTTGATCAAAAAATATTATTTTAAATCTCTTCTTTATTAAAAAAAATCCTTCTCTTTTTCTTCTAAAATTTATACAACATTTTCTCTTAAGATTACTGATCACATGTTCTCAGAAGTTTACTGGTCATTTCTGGAATTATTTATTCTTTAATTTCTAACTCTTGCCTTCAAGAGCTAATTTCAGAGCTTTCCTAAGTTTGATTTATATTATTATCTTCTACATCCTATTATTTACAGCATTTGTCTTAGCATCTTTAAAAGAATCAGGGTGCATTTTTCTCTGACTTATGATCTTAAAGCACTGGTGTGCTTGCATCATTTGCAGGGGTACTGCGCCCCTTACTATCCATGCTCATTAGCACTCATCCAGTTGTACTCTTTCTTCTTTTCTTTCATTATTTTGGTTCCTTTTTCTTTTATATAAAAACCGTTTTCCTGATATTTGAAGTGGGAGTATTTGTTGAGGTACCATTTCTAACTTTACAAGTCTGGAATTTCATTTCTTGTAGGTTTTTGAAGAGTTAAGAAGAAAGCCCCTATTTATACATATCCTGGCTCTGTTTACCTCTCTTCTTTGTATCTGAAGCTTACATTTCATTTGCTCCTATGATCCCTACCCCCCCCCTTCAATTTGGGCTTTTTTTCTTTTAAGTTTCTCTTAAAGAAGGAGCTTCAACTAATGTGTTTCAAGAATCTACACATTCCAGGATATTAAGACCCTTCCAACATTAGACAGTAGACTCTTCATTTGCCTGAACAGCCTTCTCCAAGATTCAGCTACTATTACTGAATTAGCTAGAAACAATTCCTCATGAGCAGCTACTGGGAATTTGAGTGTTAACTATGTATTCATTTCTATCAGACACTTACTTCATTGTTTCCCTGTTTCCTTCATTGTTTTCTCTGACATATCTTGCCACTTAATTTTATTGTCAATTCTTCATCAGTTTTTGATTTTACTATCTTAGCCATTATTTTAGTAGGAAACAGTTCAGAGTTTGTATGTGCTAACCTATTACCTCCCTTAAAAACATTAAGTTAAGGAATTTGCCCTATTAAGGAATGTAAAGTTATTATAGAGAGTCTTGGAATCACCAATCCTGGCTTCCAGACAGGCAAGCAGCCTTTATTAGAAACAAGGCATAGAAGGAACAAGAAAGGATGGAGTTCTAACTGAACAGAGGTATCCAGAGGTCACCCAGATAAAGGTGACAACATGCACATAGAACAAGATCTATAAAAGCAGCCTAGTGCCAGACCTGGGAATCCAGGTCAAGAAGATTAGAAGCAAAGAGACTTCATGTCCAGTACCATGTGTTGGACTGAGGTCAAGTGAATGACTTCTAGCTATGAATGGGGTGACCCAAGACACAAACAAGGTGGAAGACTGAGTGTCAGGAAACTGGGGTATCAATTTCCATCTTAAAAACAGAAGGGACATTTGGGAAGCAGAAGGGCAACAGAGGGAGGAAGGGAGGAAAGAAAGGAAAGACGT